CTTGGGCCTAACCCTAACGCGACACAAGTGATGTCAAACTAGCCATGCCCACCCTGGCCACATCCACCCCGGCTCCCAAGGTCGAACATAATCCTGATGCAGCTCTCAATGAAATCAAGTTTGACACCCCTGCTCTAAACACTATGTTAAGTTTCACTAAAATGAATTTCTATGCTATACCATAGAAAATTGCAAGTAAAATATGAGTGAATTGATTTCCTTTAAAGTGCATTCTTCCTTCCTTCCTTCCTTCCTTCCTTCCTTCCTTCCTTCCTTCCTTCCTTCCTTTCTTTCTTTTGCTGGAAATTAGGGAAGGGAACAACTTTGGATCAGAAAAGTAAGCAAATTTCAATCAACCAGAGTTGATCTGGATGAATCAGAAGAAAATGTGCTTCCAACCAGTGTACCTCTGTCTCTCTCCCTCCCCCCCCCTCTCTTTCTTATCCTGGGTCTGAAAGTGGAATTTAATTGGCTCAAAATTTAACAAAATAATAGGGCTGTGGGAAGAAGTTAGTTGACCTCCCTTTCCTAGTCAGTGTGAACTTAGATGGTCTCTCGGAGAACGGCAGTCAACACTACTAAATAAGATCTATAACAAGTCTTCCTTTGCATAGGCACTCTTTATCAATTCAAGGATGAAACTAATTTTTGTTTGTTTGTTTTAGGATGAAGCAGTTAATTCTGCAGTGGAATGTGGTATCTAGCACTCCACCCCAGGCATACTAGCTAAACAATCTGAAGCAGGAGGCAAAAGAAAACACCATAACTTATCCAATTGAAACTACAGGGGAGATTAGGTAGACAGAGTAATTACCTGAATTGGAAGTTCGCCAGGACACCAGGGCCTAGCAAAGATATACTTGCACACTGTAACATAGGGTGTCTTAATGACTGCATGTGGCCGAGATCTGAGTTTTGCATCTGCTACCGCAAGATGTCAGTTCTTTCCAGTCTTGTCTTAATTTAAGAATTATATATTACAACCAAATCATAGACTTGCGTTAGCAACATTTCATAGACCCTTCTTCAGTGTAATCAATGTAAGTAATTTACAAGATAAAAGAATGTTAATAGCAAGGACTGTATAATTTGTGTGGCTACAAATTGCACCTGTCTTTCACAGGATGAAAGAGGCACCGCTGTGCTGCAATAGCAGATGAAGCGCAAGGTCAAGTGTAAGCACTTGTGTTTAACACAAAGCTTCTGGAAACATCCATCCGACTTTCAGGGAGAAGTGGAAATTATAGCCAACAAAGTTATTATAAATAATTGTTGTGTCTTCTCTTCCCAGTGGGCTTGATAAGGCAGTCATAATTGAAACCTAGAAAATATTAATTGGAAGGTGTCTTACGATGAGTCTTTTGCAAATGCAGAAGTTTTATACTTTTGCTTTATGACTTTTCAGCTTAGAGGCTGGTTGAATGAACGAACAGCATGAAATGCTTAGACTAGCTTGTATAGTATCCAGGAAGAGAAGTCTCTTGCTAAATTGCAATCAAAATGCAATGGAATTCTAGTGAGTTATCTACTCATGGTTATCCCCCTCCATAATCTAGATCAGGGCTGTCAAACTCGTGGCCTGCAGGATAGATGCATCGCACTAGCCATGCCCACCACCACGCCCGGTTTAGCAAAGACGGGGGGAGTCGTGATATATCACGTGATGACACGAGTTTGTCTGCCCTAATCTAGATTATGAATGAGAACTGAGAGAAAATAGAGGAGAGAAATAAACTGCACTATATGATATAAATAATATATCCCTTTAAGAGTTATGGGATTACTTTATTCACAAAAAACAATTTGAGAGTAGAACTGTACAATCTGGATCCTAGAATCTTATATGACCTCCAATGGCTTGGATTATATTTTATTAATGTGATTTAACAGTATCTGCCCTGGCCTTACATACATTTAGGGAATTATCTTTGTTTCCCCCCTCCCCCAAAAAGGATGTACACTCAAGGGAAAATGACTTTCATTTCAGAAAAAAACCTAGCATGTTGACTTGTCCTTCAAAGGGATTGATATGGATATTTGAATAGGAGAGTATGATCCCCAAAATATAGGACAAATTGTAACAGTGACAAAGCATTCCCAAGACAACACTGGCAAATTAATTTTATGAAGTTGCAAAAAACCTCCAACCTAGTTACAGTTGAGGTGAAGTAAACTTGAGATAGGTTTATGTGTTATGATGACGAACCAATCTTCGGTTGATCATTTACCAATGCAAAGTAATTGGCCGATTGATATTTCATGAGTAAAAGCTAGTAACCAAGAGAACCGGGTAACAGGAAACTCCTTAGTATTGGGATAATACCACTTTGGGGGTTTTAGGGTGATACACACTGAATTTAAAACAAGACACACGGAGGGAGGGATGGAGAGAGTACCAGTTGTTTTTAGGCAAAGTTTGTCAAATATAAGTGCTACAGCCTACTAAGAAAAACAATGCACTATCCAATTTGTTCTAGATATATGGTGCACAACTGCTGCAAAAAGGATCCAGAAGCCAGAGATGGTGGCTGAAATGAACTGGGTTATAATGTGGGAGTTTCAAACAGGCAACAGAACCAACCTCAAAGATAACGGGGAGAAGGCTAATCAGAGGAAATTTCAGCAAAAGACTTAGAAACTAAATCACCTTGGAAACTGCAGTGAACAGAAAGGAGTAAAATAAGAGAATACTGCTATCACATTTGTTCTGGTTGTGTAGCATTTGATTGGGTTGAAATTCGGGGGGGGGGGGGATTAAGTGTTTATTAACTGAGGAAGACTTTGTTCAGCATACTGGAACCAAAAATTACCTTCAAGGTTTTGGCTTCTTGTATTTGCTTGAGGGGAAATTTAGGGGAAAGCAACTGAGAGCTTATTAGATGGTAAATGTTATTGTTCTTAGGACCACTTTTAAAAATGGTCCATAAACTTAGCTCAAATAAGTAATTTTAGAGGAGCTTGCTTTGATTACACTGAAGAGTTAATCCACTGAAAATGCCACAGGAGAATACATGATATGCCTTCAGCAAATCAATTCATGATAGTAGAGAAGGGGAACAAAGTACTCTGTTTTTTGCACAACCAGAAGAACATTGGGAGATACCTATGAGTTGTGTGCATCAATTCCAGCAAGATAACACTGATAGAACACTTGTAGGAAACAATTTACTGTAATGGAAAGTGAAGTGTATAAATAATAGAGTCTTGATTATTGTTATAATAGAAGATAGAAAGTCAGCTGGCAAGACCCAACTTTGGTTCATTAAGAATGCCATACAATTATATTGGACTTTTGTATTATTAATCTAGAATTTATGATGCTGAGACATATTTCAAATACTTTTTAGTTCCATGATAAAAATAGTCTTGGGTGAGAAACACTAACAAAACATGGAAAGGAAAAACAGCACAATTGATCTTTGGAATCCTGCATTTTGGTATAAATAACACTTCACTCAAAAGCAGATCATCTTAGGACAATCTTCAAATGTTTGTTTTTTGTGAAGAATAAAAACAAAAACAGCAAAATACATACATTTTCCATTGTGTACAAGTTGAAATCAATTTCCTTGGATATAAATTTTTAATGAAATTGACTGAATTTGCTATCAAGTCACGAAAAGAAAGAAACAGATGGCACCTCAAATTGATTCTATATAAAAATAAAACTTTGGGCATAGTTTATCTTTCTTAATATCTCACCCTCATACCTCACCATCTTGTTATATTAGCTGCAGCACTTTGCTTTAATGTCACTGTTTATCCTAGCACTAAAGCAAGCAAAGTATGTGTTTCCCTACCAACACCACACACACACACACACATTTTGGTTTTGATTCATAATCTGAAACTTCTCCCCATTTTACTGTTCCAAATTTAATTTAATTTAATTTATCAGTGATTGCCCAAAAATCACTGCTAGAGAGTCCTGGGGAATGAGAAGAGTTGAATGCCTCCTCTCATACTTTTCACTCAGATGACATACCGTACTACGTGCAGTTATAAAATAACGCTTCAATAATAAGATCGGGTGAAATGCAACCTTTATCAAAAGCACCTGGGGATACGTAGCTTGTTTAGTGGTTTGGGAAAAGTCTGCGTATCTTCCCCCCCCCCGCCCCTAAGAAATCTACACAATGCAAATTACACTGACGATCACATACATCTTAATGGAAATCATGTCACATCTCGATCATATAAAGCTTGCTGAGGTTATTAAGCATTTGATGGTGTGTGTGTGTGTGTGTGTATTAAGCATTTGATGGTGTGTGTGTGTGTGTGTGTGTGTGTGTGTGTGTGTGTGTGTGTGTGTGTGTGTGTGTGTGTGTGTGTGTGTGTGTGTGTGTGTGTGTGTGTGTATAGAGATTACAAACTCCAAAAATCTCATACCACAAACTGAAGGTTGAAGTACGTTTATCAATTAGCTCTCTACCAAGCCCGCGCAGGAGCGCAGTGTAAATTGTCCAATTCCCACTGTAAAGTTTATGATTAGTTTCTTTAAAAAAAAAACCATACATACTACCAACTTCCTTGGCGGCTTACAAACTACGATGAAAATACGGCCAGTTGTATATAACACGCAGAAATAACTACCGTGAACAGCCTGAGAAAATAGTTTTTGAGCCCCTTCCCTCCCCCCCCCCCGCTGACCCCGCGGACTTTCACTTTCCCTTCGCTTGCACGCCTTCCCAGCTGCTCCCCGAAGCCCCGCGCGCCCGCCTCACGCGCTCGCACGAGCCCTCCACCCACACGGGCCCGGGAAGCAAGACCGAGCGTCCCTTCTCAAGCTGATTGGTCAGGATACTCCGCCCATTTCCCTCCTCTGTCCCCGCCCCCTCGCCTCTCCCTTCCTTTCTTCCCCGTTTTCTCCTCTCTCGTCGCTTCGGCCGGCCTCGAGTCTCGACTGCGTCACCGGCGCACTACGTCTCCGTGACGTCACGGCGCGTCGACGATGACGATCCAATCCCTCCGGCTGAAGGCGGGAGGGGAAGAGTGAGTGAGAGAGCAAGAGAGGGGGGGGTGGGTTGGGAAGAAAGATGGCGGATCAAATCCCTCTGCACCCGGTACCGCGCAGCACCCAACGGAGGGCGGCTTATTACACCAAAGCCTCGGCCTCACAGAGGCATAACAGGTACCGACCGGAAGCAACATGAACGGAAAGGGAAGGAGAAAGAAGGCGTGGGGGGGGAGTGGTCGTCAAGGAATACCTGGGGGAGGAGGTTCGACCGTGGGCACAGACCAACTTGAGTGGGGCGAGGAGCTGCTGCTTTTTCCCCTTCCACCCACCAAGGCGTGAAATGTCCTTGTGTCTTCCTGGAGGCCAGGACCCTGATCATTGGGACTCTCTGGGCCTTTGGACAGCTGCATCTGAGCAGCTGTGGGGTGCTGGGGGAGGGGTTCCATGGGTAGGATGGTTGTCCCATCTGTCCCGAGAGGAGTTCTTGCTGGTCCTGTCACAGCAGCCTTCAGTTTGTTCAATATGCAGGTGTCCCTCGTAGACCCTGCTTCCTCCACTCTTCTGCAGCATCAAAGGCTGAAGCCCAGAGTCAGCTTTCAGATCTAGACCTCAGCCCTTGAACTTAGAAAGATTATTTTTTTAAAAATACTTTTTATGCTTTCCCAGAAGCTTCTGGCTGCCAAAACTCTCTGGGTGTTAAGGAAGAAAAGTTTGTGGGACTCCTGATGAGTTGCTTCTATGAGTTCTTGGTTCTTTTCACTTTAGAAAGAAGTTTGTGGAGGGCCAGAAGATTTACAGTAGTCTTTTAGCAGAAGGCACTAAGAATTAAGCCATATCATTTACCCTCTCTAAACACAAGCAATTTGTGCAAAACTGTGCAGTGTGTTAGTGTACTATGGGATTTGACCATTATGTATTTGCTTTATTCTAATGAGAATTTATTTGAGTGATTCCTAGCTTTCTCTATTAACTGCAGGAGTTAAGGGTGCTTGCAAGAGAAAGAAGTTTAACTAATTCTCCACTTATTGATTGTGCAAATAGTTTTTTTCTTTTTTACAAAATTTTAGCCCAGTTCAAAAATAAGAGATTTACTTGGAAGATGGTTTGGCAGCATCTTTCTAGGAAAGATTTATTGGGAGCATTTTGTATTTGTATTTTTGTATTTTGTATTTTATTAAATTTATATGCCGCCCTTTTCCCTGGGGGGACTCAGGGCGGCTTACAACTCAAGAAATTTGAAACTTCTGTTAAGAATGCATATTTTGTTAAAAGTGATTTGCCTTTTGAAACAGGTGATATTTGTAAAGCCACTGGCAGATTTCTTTTTTATATTCTAAAAACAAAGCTATTCATCACTGCATAGAAAGATAAGAAACGGAGTCCATATGTTTGACTTGCTTTGATGGCTAATCAAGATTTCTGCTTGAAGTAGACATATTTTTTTTCATGACTAAGATTGTTGATACAACTGAAGCTGAAATATTCTTGGATGAAAGTTTCTGTGATGCCAAAGTTTTAATTACTCTTCCTAGCATTTATGTGGATGAATACAGATTGCAATACCACTAGATTAATAGACAAAAACAGTTTCTGTTCAGTTTACCGTAAATTTGTTCCAAACATTTGAGCAAGTTCCTCAAATTGCTTCTATTTTTTATTGGAATGTATTACTGTCTTTACACATTTAATGTAACAACTATAAGTTTATAACTAACATATTACCACATGTAGTCCTTGTCAACTACTAATGCTGCCCCACAAGATTGTAAACTTTTAAAGAAAGTTTCTTATTCATATGCATTAATTGTGCTGTATATTTTATATGAAGACAATTCACCTTCACTCAGTGTAGCCCAGGCAAGCCAAGAGGACACCTGTGGTTTCAATGAAAAAAAATATGTAGAAAGAAATCAGAGTTCCTAACTGAACAGTATTTTTCCAGTGGTGTTTGTTTTTGTGACAAATGCATGGCAGGGAGGAGCCCTTGCTCCTCATGTGGCCCAGATGTTACAGGCCATAGCTTGGATAATCAGACCTTTGCAGATGATATAATAATAATATCAATAATATGGGAGACTTCTACTTTACCAGTCCTGAAACACTTCCACAGGGTTTGTTCTTTGGACTTGTTTATCATTTTCATCTCTGTAATGCTTCCCCATAGAAGCCAATCTTGTCTTCCAATTGCATTTGTTGCCTAACAAATAGCTTCTAAAAATAGGGACTTTTGGAAACAACCTCTGATAAAATAGAAATAATTGCAAATAGAAAATAATCAGGGAACCCTGATTGGAACATCCTTAATGTAAGAAAAAGAGTGTGTATTTGTAATTCACATAATGGTGAATCATCTTTGGATCTTAGGCTTTGTAGACTACTATTTCAGAACTATGAAATGAAATATTATGAGACAAACTTTAGAGAACATTAATACTGTATCTCCAATCTGAATACTTCTACAAGACTAATATATGAGATCTTAATTGCTTGAGTATTTTTTTTTTCAAAATAGAAGTACTTGATGGCATTTGAACATTTGGTTCAATTTGGCATTTAAACTACTAAAATTTCTTCTATCGCTACCAAAATGTATTGAAAATAATGTTTGGATGAATACTGAGCCACATTTTGCTATAAAACAGAGATATAGCATTCTGACATATATATTTATGGCAGACCTAGAACTCACAATCTCCTGATATTTGTTTCTAGAGATGCAGCTATTATGATTCCAGATGTAGTTATTTGTATTAACTCATACCATACTTTTAACAGCTTTGATGTAACTATGATTTTGATTGGCTGAGAAAGTAATATCTTACTAATGCCTTTACATTTTAACATAGCGATTTAACTCTATCAGTACGTAAAAGTAGAATAATAAAGGATTTTAAGATGTTATTAATAAAGAACATCAAATCCAAAATCTTGCCCCACACAGGAAACCAAATTAAAACATTTACAGTTCTCCAATCTCTGCTTGAATATACCTGATGAAGGACTGCCCTCTGAGTACTTTATTTTCCTTTGCCTAATTGCTCTCAATATTAGCAAATTTTATTTAAATATTCAACTACCAGGATCTGCTTTTCTTTAAGTTAAGATTATTATTTTGTGAAGAGAAAAGGTATTAAACTGGCTGTTTTCTATGTGTTATCATTTGAGATATTTGATGATTGCTGTTATATCTTCTCTCAGTCTTCTTTTCTCAACATAAAACCTACCCATTTTTATCAATCTCTCACCATAGTACTGGTTGCCAACTAGCAGCCAAAAAATAATTTTGTAAAATAATTTTAGTTACTGTTGATATATCCCTCCAATTTATATCTTAGCTTGTACTAGGAACTACATGTTATTAAAATATCATAAATATTATACTGTTCTGACCCCCACCTTGCCCGTTCAGAAACTACAGCCAAACAGAATGTTCAAAGGAATGTTTTTATCAGTCCCGGCTCTTGCTGGCTGCGAGCCCAAAATAAACACAGATAAAAGCTCTGGCAAAAGTAAACTACTGCAAAACAGGATTATATAAATCAAATCACTTATCCAAGTGCTTTTTCTCAATGGTTGCAAACAAATGGAGAACTTGACTAGAACAGAAACGGAACGTTGACTTCTGCGACCAGGGCATGGCA